AAAGTATAAAAATCTAGGACTGAGAATAAAGCTTGCTTTTCACAGTCAGTGCTACAGAGTTAAGGCCATTCACCCTGACTGTGGTAAGATGTTAACCAGAGGGGCAAACTTAACACGCAGATTCTAAACAGGGTTACCCTAAAAGAAAGATCACCAACCAAAGCCTTCATGTTCCTGGGTATCTAAGGTTCCTATTCACTTCATTGTCTTAGTCTTAATAAAAAGAAATAAGCAATGCACAAGGAGGATCTGATACTGATACTGAATTTCATTTGCTGTTTTCCACTCCTCAGAAAAATATATTAAAATGCAGAGTAGCTCAAACTACTGTCTGTTTGTTCATAAAGGAAAATGCGTTATGTGCAGAAATTTCAAGAGAGAGATCTCAGGTCTTCAAAAGCAGCTATTATCAAACAAAGCAACCAGAAAATTAAAGCACTGTAAATGGCTCTGACCACAGTCTTGGCTGTCTGCCAGCATCTTCCTCTCTCGGTAGGAGCGATTTTGAATTGTTTATTGTATCCACAAAGTCTCTCTGAGTGTTTGCTTCTTTGACGTAAAATTCCTCCCCCTCTTTTACAGACTATTACTTTAACTGTATAGTTAGTCTCTCCCTAAACCCTTGTTTACCACCTACTATGAGTGAGGCCCTGAAAAGAATGGTACATGAGAACATTCAAGGTGTTTTTGTTACATGTAAAGAGGAATGGCCATTTAAAGACCTAAGCAGCTTCATTCTGTCCCTCCTAACCAAGGTCCCCCCAGTCGATGACTTACCTGTGCCTCTTGCCCCACCCACTTTACAGTAGCTCTTCACCCCAGACAGCTGATGGAGGAATCTCGGCTTCTGTGATCGTTCCTCTCCCTCCCTGACCACAGAAGTTGGGCCATTCTGGAAGGGTGTGTGTATGAGAGAGAGAGAAAATGTCTTCTCCCCAAACAAGGACACACATCTGAATTCCAAATGATTGAATAATTTGTTCTCTTAAGCAATCCTATATTCTGGTTAATTGAGATTGCCACTTACATAAATTACCAGGTCACAAACAAATAGGGCAAGAGGCTCTCAAGATGGTGACTTCCTCTGTATTAATCAGGAAAATGCACAGCTCAGAGTTGAATAATAAAACCATACACTTTTTTTGGATGGTTGGTATTTTATTTGTGTATCATGACAAATCGTAATGGCTGTAATTCATCACATTAGAGAAGCAATCAACAGTTCTAGCTGGACAAAATTAAAATTGATTGAGACCCTTTGTCACCCTCACAGAAGATAATAATTACATCATTATTTATTAACTATAGAGCCAATAGCCAAAAGTCTTTTTAACTTCTTTAGATTTAAGATCTATTATACATTAACATGGGCTTCCTTGATAGCTCAGTTGGTAAAGAATCCACCTGCAATGCAGAAGACCCTGGTTCAATTCCTGGGTCGAGAAGATCTGCTGGAGAAGGGATAGGTTACCCTCTCCAGTAGTCTTGGGGTTCCCTGGTAGCTCAGCTGGTAAAGAATCCCGCCTGCAACGTGGAAGACCTAGGTTCAACCCCTGGGTTGGGGAGATCCCCTGGAGAAGGGAAAGGCTACCCACTCCAGTATTCTAGCCTGGAGAATTCCATGGACTGTATAATTCAAGAGGTCACAAAGAATCAGATATTACTGAGCAGCTTTCACTTTTTCATACATTGAAGTTCAGAATATACAAGCAAAGCAAAATATGACAAAATTAGAGAAAAAATCAAGTGAATGTATCTAATCTGAATAATCCTGGGGAAATGCTGCTGTTGTGTTTACATCCCATTGGTAGGACATCTACTTTGCACTGAACACTGTCCTGGGTACTCTGCATCTGTGGTTCATTTTATCCTCACCACATCCATGGAAGCATGTTGGTTGCATCCATTCTAAGTAGTGAATAACTACACTAACAAAGATATGTAGATTAATACAGGAAACACCTTCTATAGATAGTGCAAACACCTAGAAAAACAAAACACTCTTCTTAGAAACTGCATCTCAACTTGCAGGGGAGCAATGGAGACACAGACATAGAGAACAGACTTGTGGACACAGTTAGGGAAAGAGGGTCGGACAAATTGAGAGAGTAGCATGGAAACACATACATTACCATGTGTAAAATAGCTCGCCGTGGGAATTTGCTGCATGGCACAGAGCGCTCAGACCCGATGCCCTGTGACGATCTCGAGGGGTAGAATGGGAGGGAGACTCAAGACGGAGGGGACATACGTATGCCTATGGCTGATTCACGTTGATGTATGGCAGAGAGCAACACTATATTGTAAAGCCATTATCCTCCAGTTAAAAATAAGTATTTTTTTCTAAAAAAGAGGTTTTTGAAGGATAAGCAAAACTGGTATGTATCCAAAATCTCAGAGGATGTTCCTGTTGGAGCCACATTTCTTCCATCTCTTCTTGGCCCACAGCATGTTCCCAGAAACAGGCCAGGGACAGAGAGGAATGAAGGAAATGAAGAGTCATCAGGCACATCGAGTGTCCTTAAGAACAGTTCTGATGTCATTTACCTCCACCTTCCAAGAATCCTGGGATGGCCTTGCACAGACAAGTGGCAGGCGCTGTCAGTTCAGCCTGTGACCATAAGGGCCAATGTCCCTGAGGAAGATGTGCGTCCGGCATTGCAATAACTCAAGCTGATGTACCCTCCTTGCAAGGATGGCCAGTGTGAGCTGACGTGAGGTTAGGACAGTCCGATCCCTGGTTGGATGGAGATGAACTCAACGGAAGTTCTTCATGGATAGTGGGAGAATGAAACTGTTGTTGGCTGGTTTGTGACTGCTTACTAGACTCTAAATGGTGGTCAGAAGCAAGGACCAGGGCACCCCCTGTTATACAGTTCTGAAAACATGGGCAGGAGATAGAAACTTTTTGCTGACTTTGTCCGGGGTGCTGCTGTGGTTTCTACCCTTCACGAAGGAAGCAACCTTAAACTAAGTTATAAAGAGCATTTGAGGACTTCCCTGGTGGTGCAGTAGATGGGAATCCGCCTGCCAAAGCCGGTGACATGGGCTCCATCCCTGTTCCGGGAAGATTCCACATATGCAGAGCAACTAAGCCTATGCACAGCTATTGAGCTGGCGCTCTAGGGTCCATGAGCCACGGCTACCGAATCTGTGCCGCAACTACTGAAGCCCACTCACCTAGAGCCTGCGCTCCACAGTAAGGGAGGCCCTGCAATGAGAAGCCTGTGCCCCACAACGAAGAGTAGCCCCCTCCCACTGCAACTAGAGAAAGCCCATGCAAAGCAATGAAGACCCGGCACAGCCAAAAATAAAACTAAAAAAAAAAGAATATTTGATTCTTTCTGCATCATCCTGATTCTTCCTTTATGACAAACACATGATTTCCGGACCTGACCATTCCCAGACCAGTAAAGGAAGACATTCCCACTTCCCCAAAATTGTACAGTGATGGTGGTGGCCATCTGGTCATAACATCATGGGAGGGAAACTAGCGTGATTAGAGGCCAACTGTTGCCTTTATCCCCTCTGCTCCTCCTCTGCCTGAACCTAACAACTCTAAAAGTTCCCCAAGTTTGAGTAACAAGGCAACTTGACCATGGACTCAAATTCCCATATATTTGGCTCATTCTGTCCCCAAATCTTATATTTGTCAATAAGAAAAGCCCGTGGCTGCTAATTTGTTTGTAATCCACCCTTCTGAATGCTTTACTTATAAAATTATTATAAAAAATATATAATAACTTTTATGGGACTTTATGAATGTGGATACCCACTCTGTATTTAATAATATTAGAGAAATATTAAATTTCTATGTAGGAATGGGAATGGTATCATGATAATATCAGGATTTTTAAGAGTGCATAGCTTTTATAAACACACACTAAAATATTTACATATTGAAAGATATGATGTCTGGGATTTGTTTCAAAATAACATGGGAGGGTTGCAGCAGGTGGGGATATGGGTGAAACAAGATTGGCCTCCAGCTGATCATTGTTGAAGCTGGGTGATAGGCTCATTGTGCTGGATTTTGTGTTGTGGTGTTTGTATATGTCAGAAGTTTTCCATAATAAAAATCTTTTAAAAAAAAAAAAAAAGAATCAAAACAGGTTAAAGTTACTTTAAATTCACATTAGAAAATCATATTTTTCAAAAATGCTTAAAAATAGATGCAGTTTTATGATTTAACATTAAATGAGATTTAAGGCTATACATAAAATATTGCCTGCATATATATATATGTGTATGTATGTATATATACATATATATATGTATATATATGTAAATATATGGATGTAATGGATGTAAATGGAAAACTAAAACTATGGAAAAAGCAAATTATGGGTGCCTTGACTGGGAAGAATACATGTTATTATTCATAACCTGTTACTTTTTTTTTTCATTTTCCTAATTTTCTAGAAAGAAATACATTAAGTTTTTAATTTTATGACGTTATTTGTATAAATCATTCTCGTGATGCATAAGGTGAAAAACAGGGTTATAGAATTGTACATGAAATAGAATCTGAATTTGTTTTTAAATGTGTGTGCATGGTGTGTGTATGTGTATCTGAAATAAACATCATCAAATTGTTAATGATGATTATCTCTGAGTGATGGCATCATTGGTCATTTTTTTGTCTTAGTCTGTTTCTTCTTCAGTTAATATCTCAGTCTCAGCCTGTTTCTTCTTCAATCAATAAGTATAACGTTATAATCAGAAAAACATAGCATAAGAAAAGTTAACTTATTGCTATTTCTTTATAAGTAAAGGATTGTCTATGTATGGCAATATAAATATAAGGAACTATGTAATGTATACTTAATGAAACAGATAAGTAAGTCCAAGGGAATTTTAATTCTCTTTGAAAGTATATGTTAAGCTTTTAAACAACGCTGATATAGCGTTGTTCTAACAGCCACCATTAGGCAGTAATGCTCTTGCCTTCATATACTCACTTCCTTAATAATCGTGGCTCCTTTTCCGTCCATCTCCAGGTATATCCATGCCAATCCCGGTCTTTGGGCTCCAGGACGATTCCAAAGTCTTTAAGGAGGGGAGTTGCTTACTCGCGGATGAGAACTTTGTCCTCATTGGCTCTTTCGTGGCCTTTTTCATTCCCTTAACCATCATGGTGATCACCTACTTTCTCACCATCAAGTCGCTCCAGAAAGAAGCCACTTTGTGTGTGAGTGATCCTGGAACACGGACCAAATTAGCTTCTTTCAGCTTCCTGCCTCAGAGCTCGCTGTCCTCGGAAAAGCTCTTCCAGCGGTCCATCCACAGGGAGCCAGGCTCCTACGGCAGGAGGACTATGCAGTCCATCAGCAATGAGCAGAAGGCTTGCAAGGTGCTGGGCATCGTCTTCTTCCTGTTTGTGGTGATGTGGTGCCCCTTCTTCATCACCAACATCATGGCTGTCATCTGCAAAGAGTCCTGCAACAGGGATGTCATCGAAGCCCTGCTCAACGTGTTCGTTTGGATCGGTTACCTCTCCTCAGCAGTCAACCCGCTGGTGTATACACTGTTCAATAAGACCTATAGGTCGGCCTTTTCCAGGTATATTCAGTGTCAGTACAAGGAAAATAAAAAACCATTGCAGTTAATTTTAGTGAACACTATTCCGGCCTTGGCCTACAAGTCCAGTCAACTCCAAATGGGACCAAAAAAGAATTCGAAGAAAGATGACAAGACGACAGATAATGACTGCACTATGGTTGCTCTAGGAAAAGAGCATTCAGAAGATGCTCCTGCAGACGGTAGCAACACAGTGAATGAAAAGGTTAGCTGTGTCTGATGGACTGGTTGCCATAGCAACCGTGGAGGGCAACACGGAGTCCGCTTTCCCTCTCTGGGAGGGGAAAAAACTGGGAGACTGGAGAAAATTAGGCCAGTCTAGTGGAACCAACAATAATATCTATATGCCTCATTTTATTCTGTCAATGAAAAGCAGGGTTCAATGACACAAAACGTGCACTTCAAAAATATTCTGACAGCATTTCAGCTGTGAGCTTTATGATATTATTTTTAACATTGTAAATGATGTGTCTTTAAAGTTATTAGCTTTTATTGTATAATTACAATGAGGCCATAAATAAATCTAAATTATCCTCTATTTTCAAGTGGAAACCTCGCTGCTATGTTGTTAATTGATGGCATGAGTTGGGTACCTTTTGCTGTAAATAAAAATAGCTCTAAATAGTGAAATATTGGTTACATATAATGGCCTCTTACATAAAGAAAAATTCTCTTTAAAACTTACCATGATACATATTTTGAATGACAACAACAAAAAGACACTAAGGACAGTGTTGTGAAATCTGTATTGTTATGAAACTTAAAAGAAATACTTGACAACTTTTTCATTCCTGCTTTTCCATAGATGCCATTTTCAGATATTCACAGAGATGCTGGCATTTGCTGCACTTCAAGTTAATTCTCAGAAGTGAACACGATTTTAAATGTTATTTAGTAACTATTGCTGCTTTCTCTTCTACTACTTGTGCTTTATTCTGAATTTCCAATGTGGTCTTGTTTAGTGTTTGCTCTACTAGGTAAACCTATCAAAAGGATAATCAGACATTACCAGATACATTTCTAGAACTTGCTTCTCCTAAACAGCACCGTAGAAGTGTTTGGTATCTTGCCCTTTAATGACTGCATTGTGCATGCGCTCCTCTGAGCAGTAAAGCAGTATTGATGTAACTGTCAGGATTGAGGAACAAACTCAGGTTTTTTGGCTACTGACAGCCGTAGAGTCTTAGGTTTGTTTGTTCAGTTGCCCAGTCTTGTCCGACTCTTTGTGACTCCATGGACTGCAGCATGCCAGTCCGTGGGGTCTTAGGACAACTCTGTAAAACGCAGTGACCCTCCTGTTGGCATCCATTAGGTAAATCAATGCTTTCTGATCAATGTATGTTATTTACTAAAACTGCTCAGTTTTGGATTCACAACTGGTGACTGAGTGTACACTACATGTGACGAAATGCCCTAGGTATAAAGTTATAAAAATAATTAAAACAAGATCTTTGCCTTTAAAGAAAAATAACCTAATTACATTGGTCCTTATCAAAAATAGTAATTAATAGACATTTAGAGAACCAGTTCAATTTATTTCCTTCTCATCTGGCTCAGAAACAGGTTTGTTTCTGCTCTGAGGGTCGTCTTCTCAGTTAAGTTTCCTGACTGGCTGCCCATGAATACCCACCAAATGAAGAAGGGGGAGAAATACCACTGAAGGTCAAAATATGCAAATTAATTTAGGAATACACACTTCAACCTTGACCCCAACTCTGACTACCAAATATTGAGCGAAATTTTTGCTCCACTTTCCTAAAAACAAGCTCATTTATTACTCACTGACGCTGGACTCCCTACCCCTAAAAAAGTGGTAATGTAATATTTTGTAGGAAAGTTTGCTAAAGAGACAGAGATGAACAGCAGTTAATTCACCTTGATATTACATTACTCTAAGTTAAACTGCACTTTCTTATTGGAACAGATGTTAGATATATTATTACAATACTGAAGCCTCTCTATGAATCAAAAGTAGTTTTCTGCTCTACAACATTTGGGAAAAAACTCTATTTGAAAATAAAGAACGTGGGAAATACCATCGTGTAGTTTGGAAATGCATTTAGGGCTATCCTATTAATAATTATGTCCTTTTAAGTACATTGAAAGGTGTCTTTTTCAAAGCTAGAATTTATGGTAAGCTGATAATACCTAGGCTCCATTTGAACTGAACTATTTTAATGATTATACCATTCTAACTGATACAAAGTTTTAAAAGTCTCTGCTCTAATGTATTTTGCCTTAGTTTATAACTCTGCACATCTCGTTATATAGTAAAGACTACAGATTCTACACCCATATACTCAATCTTGGTCAGAATGAACATAAATACTGCCTGATATGTCTTTTGACTACATATATATTACAAATGTGTATGTTTTTCTCTCCATAATTATCTCTTCAAGTGTATATAGACAAACATGTATCTGTATACTTGTACAGACATGTTCCCATGCACTTTATTCAATATTTATATATTTATATGGAGGAAAGCAAGACTCATTACTGAAAACATTTAGTATATACACATGTGTGCATGTTTGTATCATGTCAATTTAAATGTGAATTTCATGTTCTAAAGTTTCTATGACCTTCCATTGCTGTCAAAGCAGATTAAAATGTAACAGAGGTGTCAGCTCTTTAAATAAACTGGAAGTTGACCTAATTTTGTGGGAAGACTAACACAATTCTATGAGGGTGATGAAAGCAATGTTCCTTTTACATACTTGACTGATCCTAAATAAAATGGTAATTTTGGGCTCTTTGTTAAGTCTGGGGACTTTTGGATTACTAAGTTTTTTGGGTGGTTTTTTTTTTTTTTTCACCCCATCACACAGCTTGCAGGATCTTAGCTCCCTGAACAGGGATTGGACCCACGCCCTTAGCCGCAAAAGCACGGGAATCCTAACTATTGGACCACCAGGCAATTCCCAATAAGGCTTTTTAACATACCTCTTACTCCAGTGAAACAGTCCTTGACTTATTTATGGATCTGTGATTAAAAGACTCATTCCTAGTCAATATTAAAGTAGAGTGACCAATCTTATTTTACTTTAAGTTGAATGATAGATTCTCCCACATTTAAAGAAAAGAATTAAGTGTCATAGTTAGAGAAACCTGTTTAAAACATGCTTAATCTACTTGGGCACAGCACCATCTCATGGTCATTTTTTGAAGTGCTACCATAGAAAAATTCAACTAAGTCACTGTAACTGCTTTTACAAAGGGTGCTTTCTCCACTTGTGCATCAATGAAACGTATTTATAAAGTGTTCAATTATTCCGTGCCATATGGAACACATAGAGTGAAGATTATTTTATGTTATAATCTTAATCAAGGCTAAATCGATTTTGAGAAAGAATAAATAATTGTAAATAAACTATACTCAAAAATAAAGGCAGTTTTGTGAGTCTATAGCTGTATCTGCTAAAGAGAGTTGCCTGAAACCTCCCAAGTGACCAGGCTTGGAGCTCCAGGTACCGTCCAGGCATTCTGAGGGTACAAAGCCTATGCTTCTGGAGCTCAGTCACAAGAGCTAGAACCTTCCGCTTGAGTTAGATTTATGGTGACAGTCCAGTTTCTAGTTATCTGTAGCAGACAAATGCTCCATGTTCCATCACCATATCTGGTCCCACCTGTGGGTACACATATACAGGTGTACCCAAAGACATTCATAGGTACATACACACACACACACAATTTTCACACAAGCTAGTTTCAAGAATTATTTAAAGTAGAGATGCTGTATCATTGAATAGACAGGAAAGTTGCTCTGATTCATCATTTCACCTCTAAACGTAGGGACAGGGAAGTAGGGATAGCAAGGATCTTTCCCAGGTATTTCCAGCTCCGTGTATTGAGAACCTATCTCACTGCCAGGCAGTAAGTTGTTTGCTTCGCTTGCTTCACCTGATGGAAACATCACAAGCCTACAGGTATGTATTATTACTCCCTCTCTTTCACAGATGGAGAAACTGAGATTCAGAGAGGTTAGTGACGTGCCTTAAGGTCACAGAGCTGGCAACAAAAGTGATGAGTGCAAGCCTGGGTCATCTGACCCTGAAGCAGAAACTCTGCCCCCTGCTCAGTTTGGTGTAGGAGAAAGAACACTGGGCTTAGAACCAAAAGATGCGAGTTCCCATCTTAGCTGTCTGTGCACTATTTGAACATGGACAAGTCATTCCCTGGGCCTCAATTTCATTGTCTCTAAAGTGGAACTACTAGTACTTGTCTTGGCTAACTAACCACGTTGCTTAAATGAGATCATGGCTATGACTGTGTGTGATAACCTATGAAATACTTATAAATGTTGTAGATGTGTTGTTATTAAAAAGAAAAAAAGCCTCTATACATTATTAACCATCAGAGCAAATTCTAGACAAAACTGGGAGCTAAGCAACATTATTATTCAACAGCTTCTACTGTCCTTTTTTTGAATGCTTCTCATTTTTGACAACTATTTGTTTCTGTTTTGTTCTTACCATAGTGGAGAATTCCCTTCACTGGTTTTTTTCTATTTACATCAAAACTTATTTACATTATGCGCCATTCCCTCTAGTTTCTCCTCTTTTCTGGAGCACTAGTAAGTAATTCTAACAAGGAATTCAGGCTTCCCAGGTGTCTCGATGGTAAGGAATCCACCTGCCAGTGCAGGAGATACGGGGTCGATCCCTGGGTCAGGAAGATCCCCTGGAGGAGAAAATGACAACCCACTCCAGTTTTCTGGCCTGGGAAATCCCATAGCAGAGGAGCCTGGCGGGCTACCATCCATGGGGTTGCAAAGAGTCAGACATGACCGAGCAACTAAACAACAACAAATAAGTAACTCAAGCTGATAACTCATTGTCTCTCACAGATCCCTTCAGCTGCCCACCACGAGGATAAACCAAAGGCAAAAATTTTAAACACAAGAGAGACAATGCGGGAAGAAATCTGAGGGCAAGAAACATCTTCCCGGTATTGTTCAAATGATCCACAGAAAAACAGGTGCCTTCAGACACTTCATAATTTATATAAAGTTTTATAACTTAATGCTGAGCTTTAATCCACAGTAACAATGACGGTTTTGAAAGAAGCATCTGTGACTTTAACTGTGCCGTTCTAAACTGAGAACAGTATAATATGACTAAGCTTTCTCTTAATGGATATTTTCCCCAGTTGTTGAAAACAATTTGCACAATGTGAGAGTTGCAGGTTAAGTTTCACTTGGGGCAGAATGAGGACTGCAGCCCAGGTTACCGCATTTCAGATAGTCACGAGAAAGTGCTCCAAGGAGGTGAGGGGAAGAGTTAGGATGTATAGGAGTTTTGCAGCAAAGGGCAGGTAACCAGGAACATCAAAAAATTACCGTCAAAGAAAGCAGATATGTCAGGTTAAGGAATTTAGTGCTTTTCTATGTATTGGAAGATGCAAGAGTCTGGGCTCACTAAAATCATTCCTTTGGTACATACCTCAGCTATCTGGGGCCAGTATCCTGTGTTTTCACATCTGAAATTTCCTCAGGGCTCAACATAGGGAGTAGCTGCAGTCTGATGGCTGCTAGATGGCTTGTATTCTTTCCTTCCTGAGTTTCCTCAGGGCTCACCAGCTTACGGTGGAAGACTGCAATCACTGATGAGGATGACATCCTTGTTTATTGACATGACAAGAAATAACTCCTTTTCTCACAGTAAATATGCAATAGAACAGAACTTCTTTGTTAATTTTTATCATTTTTTAAATGCTAAATTTTATCATTTTGTACTCAATTTGCAAAAACAAATAGCGTTCCCATTTTCCCTTAGTGGTATTCCCATAAGTCTTGGTTCTGTTATTTGTTTTTGATATTTAACACCAGATGTCCACCTGAGCCAACAATGTTACAGGGAGTTTTCACATCCAGTTGGAACCTCAGGACTTGCTGTGATTCCACTGGAGCAGAAGACTGAGACAGAAAACCTACATCTGCTGCTAATATCTGTCCTTGGTCTTAGTTGAAGCCTCTTTTCCCTCAAGGGTATAATGAATACTTAGAGTCAATGATCTTTGCAGAGTCTAAGGCTATGCTTCTCTGAGTGCTAGGGAATCCAGTCAAGGTTTTGACGAACCAAGCCATAACTTCCTGTGCGAGGAATATTCTGGAACCCACAATTCACACAGTTTCTTAAATTCTTTAGATGAATTTCAAATAAAAGCTTTAACTCTTATATGGGGATCTTATGAGAAAAATCAAGTTAACGATTTCAGGAGTTTCTAAGATATGAGACCAAGAGTCTGATATCAATAGGAAGGATTTCTGCCGTGGCCTTTTTTCTCAAAGCCGGCCCCTCTTTTGTAGTTTCTAGCTGTTTCAAGATATCAAGTTGCTCTTTTAAACAGCCCCTAGGCTCCCTGAAAAACAAATGTTCCCACTATTCAAGTCCTTGAAGGGTTAAAATTTCAAAGGCCAAACAGATGCAGAATGCATAATGCAGAGAAAGCTCTTTTTTTTAAAAGCTAGATTTTTGTTGAAAATGAGCCAAGGTCATTTAAGTTTTTATTTATAATTAAGATTATGAGGTCTTAAAAGGGTGTTTATTCTGGCTTCTAGAGAAGAGTACGATTTGTACTTCCTATCTTACATTGACTCCAGATATTGAAAGGTAAGAGTATGCTACTATTCAGATGATTTTGTCTTAGTTGAGGTGACCCCAAGTGCAGAGCTGAGACAAGGACTGGGATGCAGGCTGTTTATGTGGGAAATGATGCCAGGAAGCAGAAGGAAATAAGGAAGATGTAAAAGTCTAATTAAGGGTATGGTATCAAGGATACTCTAGACAATTAGGACCCAATTCCACCAGCAGTAGGAGACAACTTGGAACTCTGCAATGCAGGTAACTGAAATCAAAGGTGAACCAAAGACACCTGATCAAGGGTTTAATTCAGTTGGTAATTAGTCATGGTTAGCTTCCCTGGTGGCTCAGCTGGTAAAGAATCCGCCTATAATGAGGGAGACCTGGGTGAGAGCCCTGGATTGGGAAGATCCCCTGGAGAAGGGAAAGGCTACCCACTCTAGTATTCTGGCCAGGAGTATTCCTTGGACTATATAGTTCATGGGGTCGCAAAGAGTCAGACATGACTGAGTGACTTTCACTTTCAAAAATCATTATGCTTCCTCAATAGAAAATGGTATCATTATAGTCAGTAACAATCTTAAAATAAAGATATCTTCATACTACATGATCACATCTAAATTTATTCCTGAGACCCTCCAACCAGCATGCATGTTTCATACAGAATCAATCTCAAAAGCACGCTGAAGATAATTCTTTTCAACTCTGCCAAGACAGTTATGGACAGTCATTATCATTCCTGCAGGAGCTGTAGAAGACCTAAAAAAAAAAAAAGCACTCTATAGTCTGGATATGTAAAAGAGAAATTCTTTGTATAAGTTCCATTTGTTTAGCCCAATTTTTTGTATGAGTTCTATTTATTTAGCCTAAGTGATCAATCTAAAGTATTGAAATGGAAAGAACAGAAAGAAACATAGTCAATATATTTAAGAGCCAGAGGAGCCTAGACACCATGCAGTTCAGGCTCTTTATTAGGATCGGTGATGAAAAGTCAGAAAATTTAAATAAATTATCCAAGGTCACCTGACCAAGTAGCATCCAAGTCAGCTATGGGATTCAGGCTTCCCAATCTCTACTTTTCTCCTTATATGAACAATGGATCTAAGAAGGGTCCATTGGTTTACGGACTCTGTGCCTTATTTGGTTATACCACTAAATAAATATTTAAATCAAGTTCAGATACCAGTGTTGCAAACTCACTTACTCTCTCAACAGGCTTATTAGCGAGGTCTACT